TCTCTCTCTCTCTCTCTCTCTCTCTTTCTCTCTTTATTTCTTTCTTTCTACCCCATTCCCCCCACCCTTTTCACTTTAGTGACTTTCACCATTGACACGAGCATGCGCGCACTGTACCTATTATTTCTATCCTTTTTGCAGAAAGCGTCAGTTGGTCCAACTTGGTCAGCGGCTCCGACTCCACGCCCACATTGTCCGTTGCGCTGTCTGGAAGCAATGACGTCACAGGACCTGGTGAAAATGAAGGAGATGAGCAGGGCACTGAAGTCTGAAGGTCATCAATTGGGCTCACCAACACAAATAAAATAACTTGTGTGAAGTTCAAACAACCCAAATTAATATTTAATTAATCAATTAAATAATCAAAATATAATAAGATTAGAAAGAACAAAAGAAAATGGGCTAAAAACAAAATGTGTGAAGTTTAATGAACTAAAAGAAGATACAATACTTAGATCTCATAAAATTATGTGAGGATTTCTTTGAGAACAGAGAAGAGAAAAATGCAAATAAATTTACTTCAGACAGTACCTCTTCACTTTTTGATAGTTGCGTCTTTAATATTTTTGTTAATGTTCGTTCGGGTGGGAGAAAAAAAAAGTCCTCGCTTATGGTTGCTGTTTCTGGCCATAAAATAATAAACCATCAAGACGATAATTGACTGGTTGTTGGAATGCGGCGACCCTTCATTTATTTGTAAGCTCTCTGCTTCTAAGACGTTCCCCAAACCTTTCTGGCTCCCGTGCAAGGGCCACTCTTGACGTGTAGTTTGGGACCCTACCCTGCTGGGACCAGGCCTCCTCAACAACATATTAACCCTTTTTCCTCCCCAAACTTCTCAAAACTTTCTCAGAACGGTGAGAGATATCCATCTGGTGTGACAGTCATGGTTTTACTATCCCGTCCTGAAATCCGAACACACCGATCATGCCCCAACAGATGAACGCTTTTATTCAGTAGAAAACTCTTCTGGTTTAAAAAAATTAGTTAAAATTTAATAAAGTAGATGTTTTCGAATAGGTTTACTGATTTTTTTTTACGTATACAGACAAATTCTAAATTGATATTTCCACAACTGAAGTTTATTTGTGCAAATATTTTTTTTATATTGGGGCAAATATGACTAATAAAATTACTATCCTATAGAAGATTGGTCCTCTTTTTTTAGACACCTGCTGTAACTTTGAAGCATAAAGGTTCTCTTAATTCTGCGATACATTATTTAAAGTATTTAAAGTACAAAAATTAGAAGTCAGGAAATCCCATGCTACTGATTTTCGATTTGAAAGAAAAAAACTGAAAACGGAGGTGCTTCGACTCAACATTTTGCTTTTGAATCAGCACTTTTGTTTAGTATGGGGTTTTACGGTGCTCGCAACTGCATAAGGTCATATGAGCAC